TGATATTTGCCATTTTTGCCATATGCTAAACGGCTTAATCATTTCTGGAAAAAAACAAAACTTGCGCATGCAAAGCCAATAAAAATCTTGTAATATGTTCTCCTTTGGTAGCTTTGACCAATAGCCATCAAATTAAGGAGCTGAAATTAGCTTAAACAGTAAACACGGGTCATACTGAAAGGTGAACTGTCGGGCTGGAAGGAGGTTACTAGTGAAGTTCCTCAGGGATCGGTTTCGAGACCAATCTTGTTTAATCTTTTTATTACTGACCTTGGGACAAAAAGTGGGAATGTGCTAATAAAGTTTGCGGATGACACAAATCTGGGAGGTATTGCCAATACAGAGAAGGACCGGGATACCATACAGGAAGATCTGGATGACCTTGTAAACTGGAGTAATAGTAATAGAATGAAATTTAATAGTGAAAAGTGCAAGGTCATGCATTTAGGGATTAATAACAAGAATTTTGGTTATAAATTGGGGACGCATCAGTTGGAAGTAACAGAGAAGGAGAAGGACCTTGGAGTATTAGTTGATCATAGGATGACTATGAGCCGCCAATGTGATATGGCCATTAAAAAAGCTAATACGGTCTTGGGATGCATCAGGTGAGGTATTTCCAGTAAATATAAGGAGGTGTTAGTACCATTATACAAGGCACTGGTGAGACCTCCTCTGGAATATTGTGTGCAGTTCTGGTCTCCCATGTTTAAGAAGGATGAATTCAAACTGGAACAGGTACAGAGATGGACTACTAGAATGATCTGAGGAATTGAAAACCTGTCTTATGAAAGGAGACTCAAAGAGCTTGGCTTGTTTAGCCTAACCAAAAGAAGGCTGAAGATATGATTGCTCTTTATAAATATATCAGAGGGATAAATACTAGGGAGGGAGAGGAATTATTTAACCTCAGTACCAATGTGGACACAAGAACAAATTAATATAAACTGGACATTAGGTAAGTTTAGACTTGAAATTAGATGAAGGTTTCTAACCATCAGAGGAGTGAAGTTCTGGAACAGCCTTCCAAGGGGAGCAGTGGGGTCAAAAGACTTGTCTGGCTTCAAGTCTAAGCTTGATAAGTTTATGGAGGGGATGGTATGATGGGATAGCCTAATTTTGGCAATTAATTGATCTTTGATTATTAGTGGTAAATATGCCCAGTGGCCTGTGATGGGATGTTAGATGGGGTGGGATCTGAGTTACTACAGAGAATTCTTTCCTGGGTGCTGGCTGGTGAGTCTTGCCCACATGCTCAGGGTTTAGCTGATCGCCATATTTGGGGTCAGGAAGGAATTTTCCTCCAGGGCAGATTGGCATTGGCTCTGGAGGTTTTTCGCCTTCCTCTGCAGTGTGGGGCACGGGTCACTTGCTGGAGGATTCTCTGCACCTTGAGGTCTTTAAACCACGGTTTGAGGACTTCAATAGCTCTGACATAGGTCAGGGGTTTGTTACAGGAGTGGGTGGGTGAGATTCTGTGGCCTGCGTTGTGCAGGAGGTCAGACTAGATGATCATTAAGGTCAGAAGGGACCATTAAGTCTATGAGTCTATGATTAAACACTGTAGTCACAGTCATGTTGCAGTGTGTCTGGAACTGTGGAAAAAGTGACACTTTCTCATTTTGGTACCATTGTTTCACCTCGCCTGCCGGCTTACAGCACCATTTACCAGCTCCACCCATCATACCCCAGCTAAACATACATGAAATAAACTTTCAGATGATCTCTGATATTGGTGTATGTAGCATGTGCACAGTAAACTCCCAAAATATGGCCCTTCTTGGAGAATTGCTTCACAACTACTGGTCAGAAGCCGATCCTCTCAATCCTATTGAAATAAATGGCAAAATTCCTGACAACACTTAGACATCACATTTGGGTCTTGCGAGGCTGCAAAAAAGACCTTTAGATTGCAAGTTAGCCTCCTCACAGTCTGACTTTTAATATGCTTTCTCCGCTGCACCCTTAGTTCAGTCGCTTTGTCTTGGTCTGCTACAGAGCGTGGTGAGGTTGTGCAGGGTTTCTTTACAACTGTAGCAGGAGGAACCAGGAGGCAGATGGGGCTGGGGAAGGCTCTAACTAGCCGCAGGGATGTTGTTTTCCTTGTTCCAATAGCTCCTTGTTCAGTGTCAGGAGACTCAGCACATGACGCTTATACCCAGACACGACTGAGGCACATGCTCATGGGTCACTGAAGTTATTGCACTAACATGCAGTATGTGAACGCTGCTTCCTACTGCAAAGGAGACATCAAAAGACACTTAAGGGGCCTGATCCTGCAGTGTGCTGAGCACTTCCTGAACAGTGCCCCCAACTCCTGTTGTTTTCAGTGGTGTCTCGGTAGCGGTGTGAGAGAGGAGATGGAAGCTGCTTCTTACACACTAGCGCTCACTGGATCCAGGTCAGGGTTGAGGAGAGCTTGCTAGGAGTGTTGTCGCTATTGAATCCCCACCTTGAACCTGAGGGACTCAAAGGGTTCAGGCAAAAGCATCACAGCACTAATCAGTGCCACGGCGCTACCAGCCCCACCCCGTCTGCTTTTGAGTCTGCATGATGCAAATCAGAAACTCTTTCTTCTCTTCTTCCCTACAGATTTTTGTCATTTTCTTGGTAACACAACTACCTCATTCGGAAGCTCCACAATGCTACCCAGGCGAATATGAAATAAATGGCGAATGCTGCCCCATGTGCAGTGCAGGTAGGTAGATATGATTGCTTCTTTAAAATCATGACCCTTCTCTAGAG